ACAGAGGTGATGTTAAGAAGGGGGATAACACAGTTATCCCTGATAATTAATGCATATGTTCTCTAATTAGGAATATATTTTAAACCAGCCTTTATAGGCCTAACAAAATTAGCAGGAACTACCTACCAACATGCGTAGCTGGTACAGAACTTCTCCGGCTCATAGTGCTCAGATGTGTCCCTTTGGAGAGGACAAAACAGTCTAACTATGGGTGCTCTGGATGTGGTAAGCACATGCCAATCAATGGAGCTGTCTCAAGAAGTCTGGTTCAAGACTCCGGGTCATCCGTTTTTCCAACTTAAGGAATGGAAGGGCACTGCATCAGAAGAACGTAGCTTAGACGGTATTATTTGCAGGGTCTGGATTCTCTGGTGCTGTCCTCTCTGTAAAACAGGCTTGCATTCTGACAGTTTGTTGGGGTGGCTGACATACTTTTTATTGCGCTTTTTACTGATACTTTGATTTGGTTGTCCAGGTTGGGGTTAATGCCAGCCTGGTGAAACTGGATGAGGGAAAGGATAATGCCATCCATCACATTAATGGTTATCAGGCAACTGACTGTGTGTTACTTCAGGTAACACACAGTATCTGATCAGAGTGGGGGCTGTGGCCACAGGGGTATGACGTTTGTCCCAGTTTTCAGAAGAGAAGTGAATGGGATTCAAAGGAGGCACACTCCTGGCAATGATCTCAAGCAACCAGCCACTGACACGGAGCTGAAGGTGATGAAAATCATAGCTTGTTTCCACTAGAACTGGTGTCTCCTCAGAGTCTACCACAAAACGAACACAATTCAGCTCTCAGGATCTTTGTCAGTAAGCATCTTTGCATGTTTTCACAGCCACTTTAGGTAAGGCAAGGGCAAAGTTCAAAGCGAGAGCCTTTTCTGTAGGGCTGAAAGCTCAAGTTTCTGCCAAGTAGTTCTTAGGAAAATGGCTGCTCTGTTGATTTCAGTGGTCACAGCAGATGACAAAGCTACAGGAGAAGGAGCTGTCCACCCTGTAATCTCCGATTAATGGCGTTGAGAATGAAACAAATGGAGAATTCCATAGGTAGCAAAAGGGAAGGGGGTGCCAATAGAGAAGGCTTGCAAGTCAGCAAGATTATTCCGGACTTATTTTTCCTTCTGGTGACCAAATGATGACAGAGGATGATAGATGATACAACAGACCATGAGGCAACTCGACTGCATTCTGTGGAATAGATTGTAGTTGTAGCTCACATTACACCACACTTTTAAAAGTGATGCCAACCATGATAATTATACTAATAGTAGTGCTAAGTGTATATGGAGAATTTAATAAATCCATTCTGAAGGATGTTAGAAGATACTCACCAGCTGGGCATGGTTACCACAGCCTATAGTCCTAGCACTTAGTGGGTAGAAGCAGGAGGATCAAGAGTTTGGTGTCAGCTTCTGCTACATCATGAGTTTGAGATCAGTATGTGCACAAAGACATCCCTCAAGCCAGCTATCAGACAAGTTGTTTATATCTTCTGGTTTGTGTGAAAAGCTCTGCTGGGGGAGAGGGTCTAAGGTGGAGAGAGGGTGTAAAGAGGTCAGGGACATTGGCCATGTAGAACATGAAGAACTCAGGAGATCTGGCTCCAGACTTGAGGTTCATAAGGCAAGGCAGTGAAGACCCAGGATATGGCCCGTGGACAGCAAGGCTGAGCCATGTACTTCTTGGGTAGGCAGCGCTGTTCCTGCCTCCTAGGCACTGCTCACCCAGGGATGAGAGATCTAAGTTCACTTGACTTATTTAACTTTAACTCCCTTATTTTGCAAGTAAGGAAACTGAGGCACCGAGGCATCATGACATCTTAAGGGAGTGTCGTTGCTGGAAGCAGAACTCATATGTAATTCTGTTTGTCCCAGTGACAGTGATGCCCTGACAGATAGACAGCTGTGCACATGCATTTGAGATGTCAAGAAAAAATAATGAGAGAGCCAGGCAGAGGGAAGAGAGTGGCGGGGACAGCTACAGCAGACCAAAGGCTAAATGAGCCATGATCTCCTTTCTTGCTGGCTGTGTCCCAAGGATGGACATGACTCTCAAATGTTCTTTAAAGGAGACAGAAGCACACAAAGGACTGACCACAGCCTCAGAAATGCCATTTATTTCTAATGAACCTCTTTATTTACTCACTAAGGCTATAAATAGTCTCCCTCTTTCTTTGTCAGTTTTGGAACTAGCCCCCACACACACACACACTCCTCCTTTCACATCCGGTTTGTGGCTGTCTTTGTACTGGAGTCGTTTTAGAACCTGCCTGTTTCCCTCTGGCTCTAGGTTAAGAATATGAAGAGCGTGATGAACTTGGCAGTGTAACTTGCCTGGGTACCCTGGAGTTCATTACAGGGAAGAAATGCGTGGTGACTCTCAACCACACAGTTATTTCATTGCTACTTCCTAACTGTAATCTTGCCACTGTTATGAATTATTATGTTAATATCTGTGTTTTCTGATGGTCTTAGGCCCCTGTGAAAGGGTCATTTGACACCGGGAAGGGTTGAGAACCACTACTGTGGGAACGGAGATTTAATTTTGCTTTAAACCATAGCCATTTGAAGATTTGTCTTACATGGTGACCCCTGAGCTGTAGAATAGGCGGGCAGGAATTGTGTCCCACTCTTTGATCTCTTGTGCCCCCTAACACAGAGCCTGCCCCACTCTCTATAAATATTTGAGCGAGTGACAAGCTGCTAACAGTCTCCTGAGGTGGCCACAGTGGGACATCTGCACTAGCTAGAAAGTTTGTTCTCTGTGTTCCCTGGGTGGGAGGAGAATGGAAACACACGAGGTGGCAAAGGTGGTGAATGTCTCATTCTTCCAGCTTTTCCTGTACCCTGCATGGCCAAAGCCGAGTGCCAGGCTTTCCTCCAGCCCAGGAAAATGGAGTACTGTGGAGAGATCTATGTAAATAGGAGGAGAGGAACCTTCAGGGATGGGAACCCGGTCGGGGGGATAGCTCTGTGGAGCATTGTCAGTGTTCCGTCTACTTCCCCACAGGTACCCTGAGCATGAATTGCAGATGATTGCGGTCCAGACAGTAGCTCCTCTCTGGACTATAGTTGGCCTGTGGGAGGTCAGGTTGCAAATGCCAGAGTTACTCTAAGAGGGACCTTTAACCACTGAGCTTTGGGGCTTAGTGTGCCGAGAGCTCAGAGCCTACACCTGCCAGCAGGATCACTAGGAGGTGCATTTTATAGTTTCTTCAAAGGTCTCCAGGGAGACAGCACCCAGCTCCCAGCTGCTCATAGCGCCGACCCATTGATAAATACGCCCTTTATCCATCCCACTCACGACTCTTTTTCTCACTCTCCTTCCTGGGAGAGAACGCAAGCCAAGTATTTCCCCCAAAATCTCACCCAAGGTCTGTCTTGTGATGATGAACCCATATAAAAAAACAACGACAGAAGCAAGAAATTTGGGAGGACTTCATTGTTATCCCCTAGGAGAGAAAAACTATTAAATCTGGCACCTCCTTTTCTTCTTCTTTCCCTCTTCTATTTCAAAGTGCATTGTTGTTGCTTTTTCTGGAAGTTCTATTATAAATAGTTTAGTTTTTCAGTGAATTTGTGTTCCAACTCAGAAAACAGTGCCAGTAATGATCCCTGGTCCTGAAAGAGTGGTTGTTTACATCGCCATTCTTGCCCTCTTAAGGAAATGCACTATGTGTGGAAGGAAGGGCTCATGCCATGCTAAAAACAGAGATGGTGCACGGGGGGGGGGGGGGGGGGCGCATTAAACACCAGAATGGATCTGTGCTCACCGTACCTCACTTAACCTTTTAAACTTCCACAGAGACCTTTTCAATGAAGAGAAACCTTATCAACGTGGCCCAGGTTTAGGATGGAGTGTGTGGAGGCTGAGGACAGCTGAGATGAATGGGGACGGTGGAGGGAAAACAAGGGAGCTTCCATTAAGCCTCCCCGAGTGTTAATGAACTACAGCACGGCTCACGGAGCCCAGGGAAAATGCTGCCCCGTGTTCCTGGAAGAATATCTATCATCATCTGAGAAGATTTGTAGCGAAGAGGGAGAGTGCGAATCACCTGGCTCCTTCCTCCGGGCATCTTGTGTGCCGAGGGCCTCCCCAAGGATGCCACATTACACGGCTGCTTTGATAGACAAATTAATAGGGGGAAGCAGTTAAAAAATAATCAGAGTCACCGCTGCGCCGGGATGGTGGGCTTTCTCTTCGGTCTTGTTCCTTCCTGGAGAGCTTTTTGCCGGCCTTGTGGGAAACAACACACAAGTTCGTGAGGTTTTTACTAGGCAAGCAAAAAACGGTAATGGATGTAAACAAAACACAGCGTGAAAAGGAAGAGCGGGTCAGGGAAGTTCCTGTGGGTGTACTGAGGGGCACCTATTGGCGCCTTTCAGAATCACTAGGGAAATGTTCCCCAGTCACACGGGGAGAAGAAGGATCTTACTTTTGGGGGTGGAAATAATATTGTGGCCTCCAAAGAACATCCTGGCTACTGGCTCATGCCTCAGGTCTTTTGGCAGAGAATGAGAAAGACAGGGGGTGGGAAGGACTTTTTGGCTGGTGATGGGAAGCTGTTTAATTACCGTCTGTCTTTACCCCTTCTGCCATGTTGTAGGGGACAGTTATGTCTTGCGTACGGCTCTCTCCAGAGTAAGAGAGATGTCTCTGCTTCCTTCAGCTTGTACCATGCATGGTCCACCGCTTCCAAAGGGTACTCCACTCCATTGAGAGCAGCTTCATTGACCTGATGATTCCATAGGAGTGCACACAGACTGACTGCTCGCATGCGTGTTACAGTCTGGGCTGGTTCTCAGGTTGAAATGTCTCAGCTCTGTAAGGACTTCCCTTGGGACTATTACAGATACAGAGGCCTATCCCGGCCTCTCTCGGGCTTTCGGTTCCCGGTGGTCTCCTTCTCCGTATACCCTTCTCCCAGCAATGCCCAATGGATGGGCTACCTTCTCAGTCTGTCCCTCTAAGTGTTTCCTCTGCTTTGCCTCCTAGAACGCCTATGTCAACATCAACCGCATCATGTCTGTCGCTTCCCGCCTCTCAGAGGCCGGCCATTACGCCTCCCAGCAAATCAAGCAGATCTCCACGCAACTAGACCAGGAGTGGAAGAGCTTCGCTGCGGCCCTGGACGAACGCAGCACCATCCTGGCCATGTCTGCTGTGTTCCACCAGAAGGCAGAGCAGGTAAGACCCGGAGTCTCTGTGGCGGGTGGTGACAGTGGGAGGCATGTAGGACCAGGGCACCAGGACATGGCAGGGTAGGAAAACACACATCCATGGTATCCACAGGGAACCCTAAGAGCCCACTGCATAGCTTTGGCAGTAAACCTCGGTCTGCCCTATGTATACAAGGAACATTGGTAACTTATGGCTTTACTTTTTGCATAAACAGGAGAGGACTTAAAAGACTGTATTCTGCTTGCAAGTGGTGTGTGTGTGTGTGTGTGTGTGTGTGCTCTGAACAGAGACAAAAGGGCTGAGTGCTGAGAGTAAAGTAATTTTACATGAAACATTTGTTAGGTATTTGCTGTGGATAATAATAAGTTAGTAATAATGCAGTGAGTGGACATAATGGTCACTCTTACTACATGCAATAGCTATTTGAGCCCATTTTACAAAGAGGAACACTGAAACTCCAGGCACATGAACTGAGAACCTGTCAGGTCCTGGTTTTAACCAGCTTCTGGAAAATTAGTTGTTAATTTTTTTTTTCAGAAATTTTGTGTTAATTGTTCAGCATTGATGCATGTTAAACTCATCACCTCCTGGTTACCATATCTTATTACACTCTATGTTCTTGGAGATATTTTTACATTTTCTATGATGGAAATACTACAGAGTTCTATACTCCTGGCCGTCGCTTCTTACTTCCCATTCAGTGATATCACGTTGGTAGGCTAAAACGTTAAAATGTAGGAATTTCACACCATGGAAGCCATCAAATGCTGCAAATAAGGACTTGATGGTCTACTGTAGAACCGTAAGCAAATGGAAATATCTATGTTTTAAAATACACTTAAAAATGCATCTTGTCCGTAACTGCTGCACGTAAAATCTAGGAATAATCTTCCAGTATTCATTCTCACATCCCTGAGGGGCAAGCTTTGTCTTATTTCTTAATTTAAGCAAAAATATCACAGTGCTTTGCTGGACCCACTTGTCCAGCTTGTCACTTCTTACCAACCGTAGATTGACTGTGGGTACAAGAGTTTATCAGAGGCACCCATGAGAGTGGATTGGCTACATGAAAGCGCAACACACGGCACTTGTATAAGTTACACCGGAGGTGGCATAGCCTTTATATCAATAAAATTTATAATGTGCTTATGTGTATGGACTGATTGTTAAAACACTTTCTCGCACCCACTGCTAAAAGCATACCATCTCTGGGCTGCTGAAGCTTCAAGCCAGAAGCCTCTGGCTTGAACATTAACTGCCTATGGTTTTCTGCATTTCTTCCGAGGTGTTCTGTTTAGGTAACTCCCAGGTCGAGGAGTTTCAGACACATGGTCATATCTTAAATCCCTCCCTCCAACCAGTCTAACATGGGATCCTTGATGCAGTCTTGACGTTGAGGCCAGACATGAGGGCTCTGTCCTCAGACCCCTCCCTGTTAGCCTTCAGACATTCCGAGCCCCTGTCCTCTTCTCCAGTTTGAGCCTAATCATCAGTCTCCCGGGATGTTGGGAGGAGACGGACTTCGATAGATGGGCCATGCAGGCTGTCTGATGTGCTTACAACTGGGAGGCATTACTACCATGGGCATTTGCCACACACACTGACCCAGCATCCTTTTATTTTTTATTTTTTTCAAGCTGTGTTTATTTCCATCTGTAGCTGTCCTGCACTCTGCAATGAATGCTTGCTATGAATCAAGGCATGGCCCTACATGAGAGGTGCCTCAGCACATCTTTTCTTTGTTCTAAGTACGGCCTGGCTCCCTTATAGGATCCCTAGAACATTGATGTCCAGACTGTTCTCTCCTCAGCTCTATCATTTGCTCACTTTATTCCGGATTTATCTACTTCGAAAGGAAGACTCGGTCCTTCCCTCTGTCTCCGGCTTCCTTGCTTTAGGCTGACCGCCATGTGGGACCTGCTACAGGACTTCTGTGAGAGAAACCTGGAAATCCCTCCATCCCCATGTGGCACAAGAATGCCAAGCTGCTCCCAGGTTTCTCTGTGAAGTTCCCTACAGGTGGAGCAATAACCCAGCAGGAAGCTTCCCAGCATGTCCTACCTGACACTGGATAGTACCTGGCAGTCTTCCACAACTGCCAAGAGAAACCTCAAGACATACAGAGTGTAAAACTGAGAGTAGCAGCCAACAGGCCAGGGGCTAAGAACTGACAGGCACCAGGATGAGCAAGTCACATATTTACAGAAGAAAACACGGAGCCAGACTGAAAGGAACTAGAAAGGCTAAAGTGGTTTGTTTTCTGACTTGGATTGGTTTGGCTCCGAAACAAGTTTATTTGGATCTATTTTAGTGCAGGCTCCTCAGGTATTACCAGTCCTTCAGGGAAACTCATAAACCGTGTGTCTCTGTAGCTGGGAAGAAAAAAAAACAGAACAAATTCAAGACCATTTTTTAAGCGTTTATTTAGGCGGCTCTTTATTGTCCCCCTATGGGCTGTTCTAGGTAATGAGATAAGAAGGTATTTAGGCAATTAATTTAAATGGAGCTGTGCATCCAGGCGATCGACTCACAGACAGTACCATTCCAGACTGTTGGGTGAAGAATTATTTCCATTTTAAAGGTGTAATTTTTCCACCCAATAAATCAGAGGGGTTTTTAGAAAGCTCACCCTTTATGCAAGGGGACCCATCATTTTCCACAGTTGTTAATTTTAATTTTTGAATGATTTGATGTCCGCTAAGGTCTGTCTATACATCACATCCCAGGAGCTGATGCCACCAAAGAAGCAGCATGGCCTTCCCTACTATACCTCAGGGACAGGGCTCAACAGTCTGTCCTGTTGAATCTTAACCTGTATACCTTATAGGAGTCTCTGCAAGGCCCCACAGGCTGCTAGTGATATCCTTGGGGTGTCCTGTGCTTGTCCCCGTAATCCCGTGTACATAGGCGGCACAAGCCAGCAAACTCTCACTGCGTTTCATTCAGCCCCTCTCATATGCCCGAATGTGTAGGGAGTGCTCGTTTTCTATGGGCTGTGTGGTGGCCTGCGCTTTGGAGACGTTGGAGGACAGAGCCTATTGAACATCCCAGATGACTGGCCCTGCCCCGTTCTTTGTAGAAACTAGACCTTCCAAATGTCTCTCTGGCAGAACATTTTAGTAGGGGTTAGGCCAGCCTCCTGAAGGTGTCCCTGAAACACGGACACTTCTCGGCATTGTTCCCAAGGTGTCTGGCCCTCCCTACTGTTTAACTTTCTCACCCTCCGCCCCGTGTCCCACGCTCACCCGCCTGGCATCTCTTTCCAGTTTCTGTCAGGAGTGGAGGCCTGGTGCAAGATGTGCAGCGAAGGCGGCCTTCCGTCTGAGATGCAGGACCTGGAGCTGGCAATCCACCACCACCAGTCCTTGTATGAGCAGGTGACCCAGGCCTACACAGAGGTAAGAGCCAAAGGGACAACCACAGGGTCTACGTGTGTCGGATGAGGGTTCTAGGATGTAGCATGTGGAATAATGGAATAATCTTGGTTGGACGGTAAGAAAAGGAAGTTTTCTTCTTTCGGATCCTTAGGAACCTTGACCTGGGAGCTCTAGGACTTGGCCCACTGTCTTCACCACCCAGCCCTGAGCATAGTATCAAGATACAGTATTTGTTCAGAGTTCCCCATGGAGAACTGTCCTGGCCTTAGGCTTAGGATGTCATCTCTTCACATCTCTGGAGGGTGTCGTGTCTGCCGTATCTATGAGTTGCACATCCCTTAACAATAAATGAGGACGTAGGGATGGCAGGGCCACTGGATGATGATGCTTTCCTCTTTCGCCTTTAGCCTAACTCTACGACATCACTTCTTTTACCCCAACAGTTTTTGACACTCATAAGAAGCGCATAGCTGCTTCCGTGTCCCAGAGTTCCACATAAGACTGAGGAAAAGAAAGGGGAAGTTCCAAGGCTGGGAACAGCTCCTGGCTCATCATTTAGAGGCTAGGGAGACACACCTCCCTCATTCTACCTTTCCAGTAGGAGAAGAAGGCCATTTCAACACCACACCTGCTTCAACGTTGATTCTAGTCAACTGTCACATTCATCAGTTTTCCAGTATCTGCTGTTTCAAGAGGGAGGGGCACATATTCAGGGGGAGCTCTGCCAGGGACCGCAGGGCCAGTGTCGTTGATCCTACCATGCCACTTTTTCGAATGAGCAATGCCTCTGATTGTGGCACGGGTCCAGGGACAGGAATGACGGGGGTGCAAGCCCACCGCCACCAGTACTGAGGGTGAAGTTGGAGAGAACATGAGTGGTGTGTCTACAGTCTTAAGGCCCTTACCCTACCCTGCAAAGCAGTTACATAGAAGGAGGTAAAAGAACCAGTAATGATCAAAGAAAGAAATTGGGGAGGTGGGGTTATTCCATTTTTATTTAGAGAAAAGTCTTTCATCAGTCTTAAGCAGGCTACTTCTGTAGAGAGATGGCTCAGCGGTTAAAAGCACTTGGCTGCTCTTCCAGAGGTCCTGTGTTCAAGTCCCAGCAACCACATGGTGGCTCATAACCATCTATATTGAGATCTGGTGCCTTCTTCTGGCATGTAGGTGTACAGGCAGATAGAGCATCCATAAACATAAAATAAACAGAAAAATATTTAAAGAACAGAAAAGAAAATGGTAGCCAATGCTGTGTGCTGCGTCCCGTGCACTCTGTATGTGCTAACCCGTTTAATACCCACCACCACTCTGTGACGTGAGTACCTTTATCATTCCCCCTTTACAGACAAGGGTGCCGAGGACCGCTGCATCCTTAATACATCTACAAGCTTGGGGACAGGCAGAGAAAGCTGAGGAAGAAAAGGGAGAGATTTAGGGTGGCGGTCCAGGGGGCTTTCTTTCTGACATGAACCTCTGCCAGTTGATGTAGCCAGAGAGCCACTCAGAATCCTCAGAGAGCCACTCAGAATCCTCAGAGAGCATCTATGGTGTGGCAGGCCCTGTTGTGGACACTGGGGAAAAGGTCAAGAAAGAAGAAGGCAGACTCCCTGCCCACGTGCAGTCAGCTGTACTTGAAGATGGGAGAGAGGATTTCACACACAACCGGGTAGCCATCCCTCAGCATCTCTCTCCCTCTCGCCTGGATGTTCTGTTCTACTCTGGCCTGTAGATGACATGGTGTGTGGCTATAGACACAGTGTGTGGCCGTAGACATAGCATGTGGCCGGCACACTCCTTGGTGGTGATGAGCCCGTGAGGCAGAGGGCATCAAGCCTCATCAGAAAACCCCGGGCAGATGTTCCTTGCCTGTCTCTGACCCTGCCTGCTTCTGCTCTCCCTCGGGCTGGGCTCTTGACCTGAACGCTCCTTCTCCCCCCTCCCCCGCAGGTCAGCCAGGACGGCAAAGCCCTGCTGGATGTCCTGCAGCGTCCCCTGAGTCCTGGCAACTCTGAGTCCCTCACGGCCACAGCCAACTACTCCAAGGCGGTACACCAGGTGCTGGACGTGGTGCACGAGGTGCTGCACCACCAGCGGCGGCTCGAGAGCATCTGGCAGCACCGCAAAGTGCGGCTTCACCAGCGGCTGCAGCTGTGCGTCTTCCAGCAGGATGTGCAGCAGGTAAGGGGCTCTGTGCGCCACCCCACCCCCACCCCCAACACCCTATCACAGCCTCCATCTCACTGGGTACACTGGGCGCACATCTTGGGGTAGCAAGGGCTGTCAATCGCTGAGCATCCACGATCGGTCTTGACTTATTCTGCTTGTCCCTGCTCGTAGGTAATAATGAAATGATTGGTTTTACTGTAATAAGACAGCCATGCCACAAATGCCCGTTTAGAGGAAATTATCCATCCTTTTCCCCTTATATTTTCTGTCTCTCTGTCTTTGGGGACCCTGGGAGCTTTGCCCCAGAGGACTCATACACTGAGTAAGGGGAGCTGAGTAGGCTCTGGACCCAAGATCAAGGCCAAGGTTATCTCCTTCTGACTTTTTTGGGAAGGGAGGATGAGACACTTGCACACAAACACCTGTTGTCAGGCACCTGTAGCCATGGCTGCTGAGGAGCTTCAGTATTCTACACAGGAAGTGCCAGTTCACGCTCCTCCCATTCTCCACTGCTATTGCGTGAGTACAGTCCAGCATGAGAGAGTGAGAACCTGGGCACATGTCTTCACAGCTCCTGTTGATAAGAGCCTGGCACTTGCTGCCCAAGGTGGACAGGAAGGATACGAGGCATCTTTACCATCGTTACACGTTCTGGGAGACAGGGAAATTGGCATGAGTACAGAGACCTTCCAGCTTGCTCTTTCTTCTTGGGCTCCTCCAGTTCCTTTGTGGTACTCCTTCCTGACTGACATTTGATGAAGTCATCAGAAAGAAGCTCAGTCCCCAGGGGTGAGCGCGGCTGACGTGCCAGTCAGCTCTGAGACCTGGGGCTGGCAGGAAGGGAGAAGCAGATGAGTTAGCTGCCTGCTCGTGCCATCTGGAGCTGTCCAGACAAATTCATCACCCCAAGCTTAGAGCTCAGGGAAGCTGTCTGGTCTGCACGTGAGACAGATGAGTGGGGTGCCAGCCTCACACAGACAGGAGAGGGGTATAGCCTCTTCCATAAAACTCTCTGTGACTTGCCAAGGTGATGTTGGCCACCAACGCAAGTGGGATAGTGGGCTCCTCCTCTGCCTCCTGCTGTGACACAGACAGGCCTCTGGAGAGCCGCAGAACAGCTATGAGGATGGAAGCGTGTCACACCCGGGTTCTTGTGATCTGTCAGACTGTCTTGCGGCCACATGGCATCTATACTAAAAGAGAGAAAGATGTAATAAAAATGCATCTACAACATCTTAAAAATAAGCATCTCAGTTTATCATATTGCTGTCACCGTGAAAAGCAGACAGAAGATTGGGAGGTGGGTGTGAGAGGGCTTAGGTATTTCTTGAGCACCAAATCCCCAGAATGGTCAACTCCACCATTCTTTCTAGGGTATGTAAATGTGACTTTTGAGAGCATAACTATTTACTCATCATCCCTCTTGCTTTATCGTTTGCTCTCCCATTTATTCTCTGTACATGTAGATATGCATGTAGCTGGGAGAAATGAGGCTGAGCAAATCTGTTGGTGGGTCTCACCTGCCTACCTGACACCCAGTCGGTCAATAGTGCCTGGCAGTTATCTGAACTGTGTTTCAGCAGACAGCTGAACTCAGATGCTTGAGGGTCAGAGTGACGAGTGCACTCTTCTGTCTCTTGACCGCCAGGCTTGCGTGAGCCTGTCCTAGTTTGGGAGAGACTGCACAAGCTATTTCCCTGTTTCAGCCCAGTGTGGAAATATGTGCCTGTAATCCTTGCACTTGAGATGAGGAATTTAGGGTCATCTTAGGCTACACAGTGAGTGCAAGGCCAGCTTGAGCTATCTGAGCCTGGGTCTCAAAAAAAAAAAAAAAGAATAAAGAAATCTTGATAACTACTCATGGTTAAATTCCATTTAAAAACTGCATGCCTCGCTCATTCTGGTCTCCTTAAAAGCAGAGATTAGGAGTCCTTTCTTTCTGACATCTCCACAGCTTTTAGCTGTGTTTTAGGGAGCTGGGCTTCTCTGTATGTTTGATGAGCTGACGGGGAGTTATTAGAAGACCCCCTCCACCTGCTTTTGTCAAGTGAATACTAGTTCTCCTTCCCCCATGCAGTAGTTGTCTTCTTGGTGAGTAGCTGTTCCTAGCCTACGAGGGCTGTGATACGATAGCTTGAGGTTCTTTGTGTTCATGGCCCAGGCTGAGGACACAGGGACATAATCTTGATGCTCACGCATGCCACAATGCTCACTGATTATTCAACAAATCCAGGACTCTTCCACGGGTCCAGAACTGAACTAAATACTGGCGAGATACCTTGTCAGTTAGTCAGAATGAGACAAGAAAATACACAGAACAGCTCTACCAGAGCACACAAGTCAATATGCAGGATAATCCGGTATTCGTGGTCCAGTTTCAGGTAAAGGTGTGAGTGGTCAGGATCGGTGTCTGAGAAGAGGAGAGTGCTCTGAACCCTTTGCAGTCTGGACCCAAGATGGCTGAGCACACTGGGGATCCAGAGATATTTTCTCAGTAGCCTGCATGAAAGGGTCATATGCAGGGATCATCAGCCAGGGCAGTGCAGAATGGTGGACACAGCACTGGCTCAGAAGCCAGAAAATTCTGGTCTGAACATGTCTGATCTCTGTGACCAGCAGAACATAGACAAATCAGTCCATCTCATAATGCTTCCAGGGTGTTTGTTTGTTTGTTTGTTTGTTTGTTTGTTTGTTTGTTTCTCCCACCTCTAAGTCAGGACTGATCACAACAGTACCTTTCTCCTGACAGAGTATGCAAACTCCGTGTATTCCTGGCACCTAGTCACTTTCTCCATGATCCTCGGGTGCCCCCTGGTGCCTGTGCTGTTAGGAAACCCCCCCATACCAGCATCTGCTGTGTGGGTTGGCTGAGGAATCCATTTCATTCGGTGATTAAACCTCAAAGCTCCCAATGCCTGAAAGCACGGCCAGTTGAGGGAAATGGGTCCCAGAGATGTAAAGACATAACCACACAGCTAGGTTATGGTAGTGCCAGGACCAGAAAGTAGATCCTCTGTTCCACGTCCCAGGTGTCCTAGAAGAAGCCTCTGGAGAGACACAGGAAGACAGAAAATAAGAGCAGAGGAGGCAGAAAGATTCACATTGTTCAGGGGAAGACAGACCACATGCATCAGGCAGAGACAGACATAGACAGGCAATGAGAAAAAAAAAAAAGAGGGAAGCAGACGTAAAAAAATGGAAGCCATTACTATGGGCATAGCTGGAGGGGAAGGTAAAACAAAGATGTAAAATGGAGAGACAGACAGAAGAAAGAGACAGAGACCCCTAATGGGATGATGGAGAGCAAGCCAACCTCTGCCTGTCTGCCATCTTGCTTCATTGACATTTTTAAGTCAGATCTTTTCCAGGTAGGAATAAGTTGTCCTTTAGGGCTTGAAATAAGTGTGAGGCAGAGCTATGTTAGCCAAGGATGTCAGTGTCAGAGATCCCGTTGAAGCACTTTTTTCTAGAACTAGCCTGACTGCCTTCCCTGCGTCCCAACTGGTGTGTTCTCCGCTTTCTTTGTTCCTGCTGGGTTGGAAGAATGCAGGGAACTTGATTTAAAGGTAAAACTGAAAGTTGGATTCATTAAATGAAGAAAGAGAAGAACGCCTGCTATACAGTCAGTGTGGAATATTCTTCAGTGCCTTTTTTTTTTTTCATCTTAGGGTAGAACAGCATTGGGAAACCGCCATAAAAGCACTCCATGACAGGATCAGCCATTTCTCCACCTTGAACCTTTTATGGTACCGTAACTCCTCTGGCTTCCCATGTATGCAAAAGGCTGGTTCCAAACCCACGTAGACCTATTATGGTTGGGAAGAACAAGGAGTAACTGGGTGTTTACTCTTTCTGAGAGAAGTAAATTGCTTGTGCATTTTCTTCATCAGAGAAACTCTTTTCAGAGCACTCCAGAAGGTCATCTCTTTCTGCCTCCCTTCCTTCGTTGCTTGCTTTTTGTTTTGTTGGATGACTCTATAAAGTATTTTGTAATGTCTATTGTATGCAAGTCTCTGTGCTAGAGACTTGGAGGTCTAGCTCTAGTTTGAGGGCCCTGCTCCTGAGAGAAGACATATGCACCTTAGGACTTCCTAGTGATACACAGCTGTCTTGGTTCTGGCCAGAAAGCAAAAGAAATAGGAGATGGTGGAGTCCAGCATAGAGTTCCCTCTGGTGTGTGGGGGTGAGAGTTGCAATGGTTCTTGGTGCCTAGGCAGGGAACTTGGAACAGTGTTCTTAGGAAGGTCAGAATGCAGACAGGTAAGGTACAGGCAGAGCAGAGACAGAAAGTCTGGCTGAGTGGCCACTGCTGACTGGACAAAGATGGATGTGTCCACTGTGGTGTTAAGGAGGGTATTAGCACCTTTGAGATTCCTATGGCTTCCCTTAAAAAGAATATCGTGTTTAAGCAGCCCACTCCTATAAGCTGACAGGGGAGCGGCAGCAAGATTTACCCTGCTTGGTGACAATGTTCTGGTACAATTAGAACCGGACTTCCTGAGCTGCACCGGGACCTTCCTGCATTGATTTTCCTGGTGCTTCATGTGGAAAATTGTAGATTTTAATTTGTTGATTTTGTTTGCCAAAAAACAAATGCCTGAAAGACAGTTGAGAGTATTTTTTAAATTACAGATAATCAGTCATGTATTAACTGTAGTGACTCTAGCTCCTTAATCAGACTAAATCAGTTTGGCCATTGAGTAATCCAATTAACAATATTATGTAATGAAAAGTGAGCATTGCAGGTTGCCTTGAGGATGATCAGCAATAAGAAGAGGAGGGAGAGGAGGAAACTAAGAAGGAGGAGGAAGAGCAAAGGGAAGAAGAGGAGGAGGGGATCCAAAATATGAATCTAGAAACAAACTTTTCCTACAGAAGGAAAGATTAAAGTCTAAGAATAAAAGGATTGTGCACACAATCAGATCTTAGAATATACACGTGAGGAGCCAATCAGGTCTGAGAGAACACACGTGAGGAGCCAGCTTCAAGATTTGAAATAGACTACTTTTTGT